CCAGCTGATTCGCTGATTGTAGTCGTGTCGTAGTATTAGGGGTTACTTATTTTCAAGAGTACAAGTATTCTGCAAAATATGCCAATAAAACATTTTCTCACAATGTTGTAACTTTCTTACTTACGCACCAAGATATATTATTCACAATCACTGTCACAGAGTTCATTATTTTCAAACATGTTAGAAATTACTCTAATAAATTACCCTCTTAAAATTATTCTCTCAAATACTACACTTTAGGTTATGTTGAAACCAAGCGTTGAACGGAAATAGAATGTAAACACGAAATGAAAGGTTAAAACTCGTAGTATAAACGATCGTAGTCGTCAATCAGCTGATCATAGTACAGTAGCTTCTTTACGTGTTGCCATCGCCATCCTGTTTCCAAGCGTACACGGATTACGTGCATAATACAAATACAACCACGCTGTTTTGTGTTGTTTGGTTGGAATACTGGTGTGCGCCAAAGTATAAACCGTGCCAAAGTATAAAAACGGTCCGACAAAGTAAGTAAATGCAGAAATTATCAGTTAAGTACTTATGAATTTTTTTGTAAAAATCACATACAGAGAGATATACCGAAAACGTAATTAGATAGGACACATGTTATATTACATTTTTTGTTTTTTGACATGCAGAATAACGTGTCAAAGTTTGTTCATATGGTTGCTAGACGACCTGTATATATAAAATGTTGTTTTAGAAATATCTGGACGGGAGCTAACCGTGTCTTTTCATAATATTGTATAAAATCATTCAACATCACAAAACATGTATAAAACGTTTCACTTTGGTAAGAAAATTACAGTCACGATGTGTGTATAAGACTCATGACGTGAAAGTATACAGAATGTCTTGCAACCAATTCACTAAAGACTAAACCTTTTGGGTGGTTCTATGTATAAAAACAAAGAGTATGTCAAAGGAAGCCTATACATATGGTGTCCCGTAAGTAGGTACAAAACGTTTAGGAATAGGTTTAATGGGTCAAAATAAAACTAAAATCTAGGTTAAATTATTTTCTACAAACGCCTCGTTTGCGAGATATCTTTGTGAAATTCAATATACGATTTGTCGATTTTTACTACCCTCGCCGCAGCAAACGTGCAGACCAAGAGAATTTCAATTTGCCTGATTTGATTTGCAATTACTTCTATTAACATAGGGAGGATAATAAAGTGTGTTTTAGTGAAATATTAATAGCTTTGTATAAAATAAATAACGTTGCCAAGTTTGATCAAAAATATATTCAAAAACAACTCATCGTGACTGAAGAAAATAGATGCCAGGTTATAGATCCATTTTGTTTGAAGTCCAATAACTTTTAGATATAGGAGAAAAATTCGTCCCTTCTCGATGGTGAAGGAAAGGAAGGGAGACACCACTAAATCTAAAAGACACAATTAAGACAAACATTTTTCTTATCTAGTGTCACACCATGTTCATTGCTTTGATGGTCTTTTAGTACCAAAGCAAAAGCCTTCGTACCCTTGGAAACATCTGGCTGAGATGCGTCATGGACAACAGACTACTCTTTCAAAAAGAAAATAGCTTGATTTTGTGGGTTAGGGAATCTATACAGCTATTCCTGAACTTTTAGATCGTTTTTTCTTTCATGTAACAAACAACTTGTGAATATGAGAAAGAAATATGTGAAAGTACAGCAATCCTATCAACAATCTGAATGAACCTTTTTAATCCTGCCATCTGCTACATTAAAGGAAATAGCAATGGTCTTTCTTTACAAAACTCCAGAAGCCTGGACATTTGGCTTTGCCCATTAAGGGCACTGAGTAGTGCCAAGGGTAGATGCTGATTCTTTCCATACACACTTGTACATTATGTGCATTGTTCAGCCAAACAAGAATATCCAAGAATATTGTGGAATATTCAGTTGCCGAGAAGACCACAGACAGGGTTGATTTTTACTCAGAACTTGTGTTAGCTCCGCAAGCCTAGCCTGTTACATCCACAGGTTTATTGGCCATAGTTTTTACTTCCCTGGGAGTTTTCCTGATTGTTCTGAATGCTCCAATTAGATTCTGCTACACAAGCTTGTCACGACTTTGATAAAAATCAAAGAATTTTTTGAGAAGTTATCATGCACACAGACAGACTCAGATCTTCTGCTTCTGACGCCTTTAAAGAAAATGTACAGTGGTCATAAACCTAGGTATTAGCTACCATGATGACTGTGATATTAGCTATTTCCGTTTTGGGATAAGACTCAAAGATACCAATGTGCTTAGTGAGTCGAGGGAACTGAATCTTAAAAGGCTTGTGCTTAATAAGCTATGTCTGGTTACTTATTCTATTTCATCCTGCTTCCATATGTTTTACATATGAGATGTTCGGGCATACACTTTTTTGTACCTTTTAAGCTGGTTGCCTGCTCCCAAAAAAATTCACTCTCTGATTCTGTCTTATAAATTAAATAATTGTCCAAAGCAAGATGTGAAAATTAAAAACAGGTCTGGTGAACTTAATTTTGGTCAGGCCTGATTTTTTCCATGACTTTTGGGACCTTAAAATGAAAGTGCCCGCAGTAGCTATGACAGATCCTGTACCCATAGATGATAGATCCTGTACCCATGATAGATACTACCATAACACAATACCAGAATAAAGATAATTTGAATTGAATACAATATTAGAATCCCTATCAATAATCTGGGAAAGGGAGGAGAAAATATGCACCAACCATCTAACCAATGCTTGCATATCAACAGTGCAAGCTTGACATGTTTATTGGTTTGTGTGCCATTTACCACACTTAGAAAGCTACAATTGTTTTAATGCATGGGTCTTTGCCATGCATCCATTCAGCTTCATGAACATAGTAATCTACCAACTGATAACAAATATTTTATTACTGATTACTTAAGCACTTTCATAAGAGATTAGGCATATTTTTTTAATTTCATTGATCTCAGTTTAGAATGTAATTTTCTGATTTACTGTAGAAATCACTATACAATTACAGATCTCTAAATAATACAGTGTATAATAATTGTTTTTTTTTTAATATTTTTTTTCACTTTCAAATCCTAGAAGGCTAGGTTCTTGCCCGAAACTGTTTTACACATTACTTTGAGCTAGCCATAGAGGGTCACGGCATTATAAGATGGATAAAATCCATTGGTGATTGGCAGGAAGGATCCGAGCCTGTACTCTACCACTAGTTCAGCTTACTCCCCCCAGTTCATAATCGTTCCAATATTACATAATCTTAACCCTTTAATTCAACAGTTTGTACTGATAGCCTCTGTATTCAACAATTTTTGAGCTTAACATTAACAATTTGGAGGCATTTATCATCAAGTCATCTTTATCAGATTTTTTCTTAGTTTCACACAGAGATATATCTTCAGCTAAAACACTCTCGGGTATCTTATTTTTTTCTTTAGTCTGAAAGTTAAAATGTTCTACCCAAGAATTGCTCAGTCAAGGTGAACCAATGAATTAGAGCCACGTGCAGAATAGACAGGGTGCAAATAAAAAGCTCCAAAATTTTTTTCTAATTTTTTTACCAACACACTTTCATACATTATAATGAAAATACAATATAATAATCCTTATTATACTTTTTATAGTTACTTTATACATATACAAAGATCATCAAAATCTTTGCTATTTATTCCAGCCGATATTAAGTTTCTACGGCCGAACTCTCTAACTTCATTTAGAAACCTAAAAAAGTAAATATAACACAGTAATGGCAAAATGTTGCTTACAAAATTGACAGCGAAATTAAATCTCTAAAAAGAAATCTAAATTGATAGAAAAGTACAAAATCAACGTTTTTGAAAAATCGAGTTACGCACAAAATCAATTGTCAGCGGTAATCGAAAGCGGGAGTCGAATAACCTCGTCGACAATTTGTTTTTTACACACAGGTTACATTTAGCTAAGTCGATATTAAAAGCTGAACGCTTAAGTAAGAATACAACCGATTATATAATTTATACAGCCTCTACAGAAGGGCCGAGGTAAGGACAATTTTGTAAGGAACTTTTGCTGCTTAACAACACCGTGCTCATTACTGCACTGCTTATGATACAAGTCCTTTATACAGGCCACATTGCGCGCCACTCCCTGTCTTACAAAACTATATGGAAACTCACTTCTGCCTACACGCTTTAATAATACTGATGTTATTTAATACTTTACCTTCTAACACATGGCACACTTAGTTTTAGAAAATCATCAATGTCCGTAAGTTGTAAGCTAATGTTCGCTTGGCGATACTCCAATGAAATTTAAGTTACATTACGTTGAACACAAATATAAGAAATTATACCTAAACTTAATATAAGGTTTGATAAAGCCGCCTGTGTACCTGCATACTAACTCCTGGTAATTTGATGTCAAACTAGGAGATTTGATAAGTACCTTTGATAAGTACCTTTTGATTAGTACCTTTAAATAAATAGGCAAGTGATACAATCGCTCAAGTCAAGAGTGATAAGCTTAAGACTACAGATAACATAAATATTTGAACTTGGAATTTTTCAACATATTAGAAAGTATATTCTGTAAAAGTATATGAAAGTATATATAAGATTTTACAGAATGTATTGGGGACATGCAAAAGAATATTAAGGATAAAAATGTTATGTAACGTTTGAAACTTGGAAAAATAAAAATTAGAAGGAAATTGTGAATTTCAGGATTTGAGTGAGAATCTTTCTTTAAGAAGTCTAACTCTTTTACTGTTGTTTAAAACAAGAAGGTGAAAATAAATAGAAAATTTGTGTAAGTTATTAAAAAAATTAAATGTTTAGAACAGCAAAATCAGTTGCCCCACTATAAATCAATGTGTAATTTAAACAAAACACACGTTGATAGTTGACTGATTGATGGGTGACCAAAGAAATTGTTGTTGTAATAAATTATAAGTATTTATGAAAAACGAGTCAGCAAAATCATGAGTACAAGTTTAATATTAAATATTTATCATCATGTACAATGAAAAAATAAGTACGTTTCCAATATACATATATAGTTCAAGATCTGTATTATGTTTGAAGCAGAAACAAATATTCACATAAAACACAATAAATAAGTTACAAAAATAGACTACCATCCTCATCATATGATTAAGAATTTGAATGGTTGAAATAATTGATAAATATTATCCAATATACTTAAACAATCAAGTTTGAAGTACAACAATAAAAGAAAACTATACACGACTACTATAAACTAAGGACCATCAAACAAAAAAGAAACATAGAACATAACATTACATTCTGAGCCATTCTACTTAAATCTGAATATTATGTATGCTTTACAAACTAATTCACAAACAAAATTTATGTTGTTAGGCAATTAATATCTAAGCATAACAAAGACAAACTGAAAGAATTCTAGAGAATTGTGTATAGTTTTTAAATCAACCGATAGTTACGGATAACAGCATAACATGTTGTATTTTACTTATATTATGTCACAACTCAAAATAATAATAATTTAAAGCTTTGTAATGTTATACAAAAATACATAAAAAACAGATGATAATCAACAATATCATGAAACTAAATATCTAATGAACAAAAAACCAGCCTATAGATATTTTTTAAGACCAAACTCAGTTTAACATGAGAGGATAAATTATTAAGAAATTATGCTTCAAATTATTGTGGATGAGTCAAAAGCCATAACTATAAACTCGAGGTGTGCGAGAAATTTGGGCCAAGTCGAGCTTAAGTCAAGCTTTTAGCGAATTTCCCTATAGGGAATAAGCTATTACCGTAGGTCTCATGGTAAGACCTACACCCGAGACCGATTTACTTTTTTGTTTTAAGGTCCCCAGAGCCAAAAACACCATCCGTTCAAATTCATATATATTATATGATATGTGTCCGTTAGCGTAATAACTCGAACAAAAATGATCCGATTTTGATGAAATTTGGTATAAACATGTAAACCTTTGTTTATTCAAACGAGTTCGCGAACCAGCATATTCGGACTATGGAAACGGGGGTTTATGAGGTAAAAATTGATTTTCCCTAAAAACCCTAAAAACACAAAATTTCATAATTGCTCTCCAAACCATTTTGTAGAGCTTAAAAAAAGAAATAATTTTGTATATTGAAGCGTTTTGTAACGGTTACGGAGATAATTGAAAAAATTGAAAATTTAAAATTTCCATGTTATTCTTATGGAGAATAAATAAACTGATGTGGTTTGCTTGTTTATGGATATATTTTAATCAAATTTTACAATTCTTCACTATCTTTGCAGGCCTTCTTCATTTGCGATATTAAAAGCTTGGCTTAAGCTCGATTTTCTAAATTGGTGCTAGATCACTCGAGCTTTTAGGCTTAGCTCATTTAGCATTTCATCTCTCCCACACCTCTACTACAAACACAAGATCAACCAATCCAAAAGTTATAAATAGTGATTGAAGACAATATTATTTCAGTCATTTTAGTACGGTAAACTATCAAAATTTAAGCCCTTAAAAATAATAATAGAGAAGTTGTAGTAATATTTAGTAACAATACCTGTATTTTCAGCTGCCTGTAGTATAATACTGTATTGTACAATTCTCATGTGTACTGAAAGGGAGTTTGATACAATTATGGTGTAGTCAATACATTTTCAAAAGTATTATTGTATATGGTAATTAACGAATATCGTCACATAGTCTTCCTTATGTTTTCATACAACTATACTGTAAATCAAAATAATCAAATAAATATTGCACAATATCTTTTAAGCATGCACATAAACTAAACTTCACAAAAATTAACTGATGCCCAATCAATACACATACACACAGGGTGAAATTCATGAGATACGCCATGCCAGCTCAATATCAATCAAAGACAACCTTAAATTAAATAAATTCGTAGTTAATAAACTAATAAAAATGAATAACCAGTGTATAAGCTATCAATAATTTTTGTACTAATTTTCGTGTGAGTTGTTTCGAGAAATTGTCAATTTCAATTTCTACGAGATTAAAAAAATGCTTTTCAAGCTTAACTTTTTCGATTAAGTATCAGTACTAAACAATTAAAATAACACAAACAAATAAAAATCACAAAATGGACCAATCACTTAAACATAACATACAGAGAAGCATCATGAAATGATAATGATTTTACTGACCGATCACTTGACTGTACATTACATTCCTAGGTGAGATCGTGCGTCATGTACTCTACATGGATGGACTGATCTACTCTACTTATAATATAATACACAGAAGTCAAGTGACAAACCAAACTACACAACCTCGTCACAACATTGGTGGGATGCAACTAATGGATAACCTCTGTCAAGTGATGTTACTCTTCAACTAGATTGTGTAATTTGGCTTGAAACTAAAAAAGAACAAAAAGCGTATAAAGTACAAAAAACTTACACAATAAACTAAACTTGTGATGGACTAAGCGATCAGAACTCAGTATGGCAAGAACACAGACCATTGGGTTTAAGACAATATAAAAATAAATAGACATTGTCAAATTCGTTTGAGATTCATACTCTATCGAGGACGAATACTCATTAAATACTACTTTGAGCAGTAAATCTAACGTAATACTAAATAATTTTAAATAAATTCTCAGAAATGCCTGCGAGTTTTACAACATAGAGCGCTCGGATCGATAAATTTTACGATGCACTACTTATCGATTGACACAGTTGAAGGGCCAACGTAAAATCTGCCTTATTGTCCTCCGTCGACTAAGAGACTTGAGAGATGAGAGGGATAGATGAAGCTTTAGAAGAAAATAACAAAACGCATTGGCACTTAATATGATTTGTAATGTACTCTGTTACTGTTAATAGTTGAAATATCTCTGATCACAGATTGGACAGAAATCAGCTGCAGTGTTTGAAATATGAAGTAGGGTTCAGAGAAAAACAACTATTGCTAAACCCGTACCCTGCAGCCCTGGCATACCCAAATTGAATATTTGGTTAACTTTCAACAACTGATCATTACAGCTTAGAAACTAATAATTGCCAAAAGAAATTCCCCATTAAGATAAACAGTTTCACTAATGGTTCATAAGAATCGGTCTCATTTCAGAGGAAAACTTAAGTTCTGTCTATCAACTTGTATTGATATTTGGAGGTGTTACATAACATATTACCTTATCAAATGGGAAACTTAAACCACAGATGTACTAATGTAACCCAAGCTCACTAGAGAACAAAAACACTACTCGTTCATATTTTAACAAATTTGTATATACTTTTGGGTTCCTCTGATTCCAAAGTGGTTTTCAAAGTGATGTCCATGATTTGTACGTGTGTGGATGTGTACAGAGCTACTGACAGACCACACTTGTGGTCCGATTTTGATGAAATTTGGTATGTGGGTACTAATCCATGGTATCCCTAGGCTTTTTTATCATTTTTTGAAAATTTTGTTACTAATGGTGATTTTCCCATAAACCCCATGAAATGATGGTAAAATCTGATTTTCACAATAACAGCTTGAACAGTTTTAAATTAAAATTTTGTATGTTAATATGGTCTTTTAAATTCTAAGCAAAAAGGTACCCCAATACTGTAAAAATTACCGTTCTTAAGTTATTGCACGCTTTTGCAATTTTACCTATAAAATATCATAACTTTTGACAAGCTGATGGGAGAAAGTATGTGTAAGTTTGCTGATACCGTTTATTCATTATGATGTCTTTTTTGACCCAGAGGCCAAAAACACACTATGCGTTGAAACTTTTTTTATTTATTTTATACTAAGCTATTAATATTTTACTAAAAAAAACTACATTACCCTCCCTGTAGAAGCAAACCTAGATACTCATTAAACCTAATGTTATTTAAGTAGATTTAAGTGAAAATCAAATCATGCTTATGGAAATTAGCTTAGTCTGCAGGTTTGCTGTGGCGGGGGTATTATATATGTACAGTGGAACCTCTATAACATGTCACCCTTGATAACAAGTGTAATTTTCAAATCCCCTTGAATTTATTTTACCCTTTATCACATGTTATTTCCAACCTCAATAAGATTGTTAACCTTGATAACAAGTGTTATTTAATTATCCTCTACCAGAATCTTGTAACCGAGGTACTGCTGTATATGTACAGGGTATCTCGTAACTACAAAAAGTAATAACAAAAACTCCAAAAATAGGTTTTGTGTCGTAATAAAAAAAAATCAAGAACAACATTTTACATATAAAGCCGCCTTACATTTTTTGTAAGGCATTTAGTTTGCTTATCTTGTCATATAAACAAACTACTGTTCTGAATTAAATGGGGTTTTTAACTGACTACAAGATCCCTATCCGTAAGACAGAATGCTAGTCAATAATAAATTATAAAATATAAAACAATTAAAACTCCTCGTTAAACGATACTAACTTGCATTACATGTATTTTATACGTAGAGACTTGATTAAAAATGTTTAAGAAAAATCTATGACCTTCACAAAATTACAAGAAAAGGCCAGCATATTTCTTAACAACTAACACAAATAAAAATAAAATTATTACTTCAATTTCTTTAAGACAACAAATAAACATTTAAGCTATTCAATTTAAAATTTCATGCTTTATTGTGGTAACCTTTACTGTTTGATCTAAACACTAAATATTTTATTCCTACATTTCCATGATGATCAAGTTTTCCTTTGAAAAGAGACCAATTCGACCACAAATGAAAGTGTTATCTAAAATATTTTGGAATTTGACCCCTTTAGTGTTAGGAAAAAGTCAATTGATTGAAGTTGTTTTGATCTAAGCCCTACTAACCTTGGAGATATCATCTAAGCAACACTGTAGCGATTTCTTCCCATCCACTGTTACCCGATTTTTAAAACTAAAGAGTAATATGGCACAACAATTCCGATTACATTATTGCATCCGAGTAGTAATATGGCTACGATGTACAGTGAGGATTAATTGTCGATTGTAATGAAGTAGGATGGGTAACAAGTGACAGTAGCGGTAGGATGTGGCGGCAGTGTGGAACTAATGGAATAGTCGCATGTATACAGGGGTCGGGGCCCATCGCTACTGGGGACCGTTGTGAGGCAAGGACCCTTGTGTTCCCTGGAACAAAAAATGATAGATAAGTATCCGCAACAATGTATTTTCACCATTATTGAGAATTGGGATTATTGAGAGACAATTCTACAGTGAGGACAAGACAGTTACTAGGAAGTGGGGAATGAAGGACGCTGGACCATAAGTGTCAGATTATTGAGAGGTAATTCTACAGTGAGGACGAGACAGTTACTGGGGGCATGGTGGGAGAATGAAGGAGGCTGGACCATAAATGTCAGATTATTGAGAGGTAATTCTACAGTGAGGACGAGACAGTTACTGGGGTATGGTGGGAGAATGAAGGAGGCTGGACCATAAGTGTCAGATTATTGAGAGGTAATTCTACAGTGAGGACGAGACAGTTACTGGGGGCATGGTGGGAGAATGAAGGAGGCTGGACCATAAGTGTCAGATTATTGAGAGGTAATTCTACAGTGAGGACAAGACAGTTACTGGGGGCATGGTAGGAGAATGAAGGAGGCTGGACCTTATGTGTCAGATTATTGAGAGACAATTCTACAGTGAGGACAAGACAGTTACTGGGGGTATGGTGGGAGAATGAAGGAGGCTGGACCTTATGTGTCAGATTATTGAGAGACAATTCTACCGTGAGGACAAGACAGTTACTGGGGGCATGGTGGGAGAATGAAGGAGGCTGGACCATAAGTGTCAGATTATTGAGAGACAATTCTACAGTGAGGACAAGACAGTTACTGGGGGCATGGTGGGAGAATGAAGGAGGCTGGACCATAAGTGTCAGATTATTGAGAGACAATTCTACAGTGAGGACAAGACAGTTACTGGGGGCATGGTAGGAGAATGAAGGAGGCTGGACCTTATGTGTCAGATTATTGAGAGACAATTCTACCGTGAGGACAAGACAGTTACTGGGGGCATGGTAGGAGAATGCAGGAGGCTGGACCTTATGTGTCAGATTATTGAGAGACAATTCTACAGTGAGGACAAGACAGTTACTGGGGGTATGGTGGGAGAATAAAGGAGGCTGGACCTTATGTGTCAGATTATTGAGAGACAATTCTACCGTGAGGACAAGACAGTTACTGGGAGCATGGTGGGAGAATGAAGGAGGCTGGACCATAAGTGTCAGATTATTGAGAGACAATTCTACAGTGAGGACAAGACAGTTACTGGGGGCATGGTGGGAGAATGAAGGAGGCTGGACCATAAGTGTCAGATTATTGAGAGACAATTCTACAGTGAGGACAAGACAGTTACTGGGGGCATGGTGGGAGAATGAAGGAGGCTGGACCATAAGTGTCAGATTATTGAGAGACAATTCTACAGTGAGGACAAGACAGTTACTGGGGGCATGGTGGGAGAATGAAGGAGGCTGGACCATAAGTGTCAGATTATTGAGAGACAATTCTACAGTGAGGATATGACTGGTATTGGGGGCATGGTGGGGAATGAAGGAGGCTGGACCATAAGTGTCAGATTATTGAGAGACAATTCTACAGTGAGGACAAGACAGTTACTGGGGGCATGGTGGGAGAATGAAGGAGGCTGGACCATAATTCAGATTATTGAGAGACAATTCTAAAGTGAGGACAAGACAGTTACCGGGGGCATGGTGGGGAATGAAGGAGGCTGGACCATGTGCTGCACAGCAAGGTGATGACTCAGCTTGGGCCCACTGTCCTCAGCCTTCTCTTCTTCTCTCCGTTTTAGACACGCCGCCTTTGGGTTCAGGTTCCGTTCTGTGACAAACATTGACATTTTTTAATACTTAGCAACATTATGCACAATTAAACTATGAGAACATAGGTATGGGCCACCCAACCACCCAACTAATGGAGTACATATGGTTTAACACCAGGACTATTTTACTGGCTACGTAAGATAATAAGAATAATAGTTGTTATTTATTTAATGTTTAATATACCTTTTATTTTGTGTGCACAATGTTTTGATGTCGTAAAGAGACAAAATGTGTTATAGTTTTGAAAACTAAGCAATGTAGCACCAGAACTAAACTAACAGTGAATTAGTTTAGTTCTACTTAGTGAATGAAGGTAGGTGGTCTATTTTAACAAAATCACAATCTTGAAGGTAAAATATGAATACAGATATAAAACCCTGACGATTTAAGTTATGTATAATTTTTTGATTCCAAGGCTTCAAACCAATATGTCTTTGTATCAAGACCTACATATTCAACTAGCATATCAGTACGTTAACATAAAACTTCTTGAGGTACATGAAAAATCTTGTCTAAAAAGGGTATTGTGACATTCAATTAAGGACGTCTGTTTCTAATAAATAATAAAACTATACAGATGAAAATACAGATTTAAGATGGATGAAACCATACAGAAAACCTTCAAGATTGAATTGGAGCTTTCATTATTTTTATCAAGTACATTATTTTTAACATTCCAGTGGCAGTTTTCTAAAACCTAGAAAGACACAACAGTGTCTTACCTCTAACTTGTTGTTCTAACGACATGATGACCTCAACTGCCATGTTCAGGATTCCTAGTTTTGTTTGTGGTTTGTCTGTTTTTAGGTGCGCCATACACATTCGTCCAAGTTCTTTGAGTGCTTCGTTGATATCTCGTATCCGAATTCTGAAACAATATGATATGCGTATAATATTTTATAAAAAGAAAAGATAAAGAGAGAGTACCGTACTTCAAATCGCTGGGAAATGAGTATGAAATATTCTTTTAGAAACTTGAACCTGGCTGCATAGTAAAAGAAATCTTAAAGGTACCATACTTAAAATAATAGTTTGTGAGTAATGATATTTCATTACAGTGGAACCCTGGATATCCTAAATAAAGGGGGGGGGGCCGTTTCGGATAAAAAAATGTTTGGTTAACTTGTCATAGGCTAAAAATAGCCTACCTATGTATTACCACAGTGTGTAGAAAAATAAACTTTAAACAATGTCCATTACAGTGTTTTATTTCAGCTAAAAAAAATGTTACAATGGGATAGAAAAGCCCCATTCTAGAGAGAGGGGCTCGGCGCTACGCCTGACTGTTTACATAAACTGTGTATTGTACTTATATTTTAGCCCTGTATTAATTTATGGAACCGTTTCGGTTAACCCGGGTTTTGATTAAGCCGATTCCGAATAACCGGGGTTCTACTGTAACTTGAATTGCAGCAAAATAGGTGGATGTGTTCAACATTACTTTGGTAACATGACATAGTATATGACAAATAAAACTTAAAAACTGCTTGAGGTTACCTTGCCATTTATCAACTTAGGTCAAATACATGTTTTAATGACCAAAAACGTAATACAAAAGTGTTATGATTCCAACCAACATTGAGTTGGGAGACTCAAAAATAGTTTTGTCGGCATTAATGTTCCAATTATTTTAATTCCATGTTCTAAACATATTCTGACAGTTAATTACTTCTTAAGACAGACAATACTAAACAAACAAATGAACAAATACAGTGATTTTATGATTGCAGCAAAAAGTGTATAGCTTGAATGAACTTTATAAGTAGTGTTCTTGTGAATTTTCAAGAGCCCAATGGGGTTGGTCTAGGACTTGGTCTTCATCAGCCTAAGGTTATAGGTTAAGGGTTAATTCATTTTTCCAAGCATTTTCTAGTGTTCAGCAATTTATTGTCAGTGCAGTATCCTTTGTTAGACACAGATTGTGTGAGTTATCAATATTTGACGTTTTATTTGTCTTAAATTATTTTCTATGGAAGTAACTATATGTAAACCAAATTGCATACTTGTGGATTATAAAAAGTCCCTATTTTGTAGATATAAGTGGTCTCAGAAGGTTAGGTTAGTTTATGCCAATATACTAAACCTCAAGAACCTATATTTAAATATCCATATTGCAATCTAATTTGTTGTTTCTAACCTTAAATGACCAATTCAAACAAATTCAGTTTACATCTAGAGTTTCCAATAAATTCTGAATTGTCGATTAGGTTTGTAAAATGCAGGTTACATTGCAAATATTCTTGTAGAATTGTAAAAATATGCTTATGAAATATTGACCACTCACACTTGTTCAAGAAATCAATTGGTTGTATTAGACATTAATTACATTTATAGAATCGGATAGGTTAGTAACAGCTAAATTAAAATTACTCTGTAATTTTAATTGACAGCAAGCATAAATCAACAATAAAGTAAAGAATGATAGGTTAGAAACACTGCATATTATATATTTCAAGCTTAAAAGAACCCTGTGGAAAAAATGCAATGTTATATACATAACAATACAAAAAAATTATTCCAACTGCCTTTCATGCTATGATCTCATGCTTAACTGCAAATCTAAACCCCCTCTCTCTCCTCTTAAGTCTAATGCTTCAGAAACCCTTACTCTATGCTATAATAAATTTGAATGAACCAAAGTAATAATTGGAGTATAAAATTGAAAATTTATTAGAATCTTTCCAATTATACATCACCCCCTATATCTGTATTTTCCTAGAACATACTTACAAATACTAAGTACAATCAAAGTTGCATGCACATAACATGATAGAACAGGATTAACTTTGCATCACTCAAAGTGCGTAGAGTTAGCTTGTTTTAATTAGCAAACATGTCTCAAAGTTATGTGTTTTTTTAGTTCAAAGATCAAACAAACAAGTAACAACAAACAAGTAAGTAAGTATCAAGTAAGTAAACCTACTTGGGCAGAAACAAATTCAAAGAGAAGTCATAACACAGCTGTATTTATCAATAAAAAAAGGATATTTACTAGTAAAACTGTCATAGATTTACAATGCTTTAAAAACTCATTCCCTTGATGAAAAAATATATATTTTTAGTTTAAGTATGACTTCCAGATTTGAAGCTGCAGTATTTATGAATGTTACAAAAAATGCCAATTTATGTCTAAACCTATTACGCACATTATATGTTTTTAATATCAACGAATACATAAGCCACCTATTTCTTAATTTAATTTTATGTACACAGATCATATTTTCAATAAAGGTTTGGCTTTGCATTAATTTTCTAAAATGATAAATACTATGGTCCAATAACCCATTAAAAAATTACTGAGGCAGTGATCACAGGAAAGCCCGCATGGTGTAAAATAATTAGACTACTATGGTTTAAATTCGAAATTTACCTAACTAGAGGAATAAATGTGAAGAGAAGAAAGAGAGAGAGAGAGAGAGAAAGAAAGAGGGAGAGAGGAAGAAAAAAGTTGCTCTGTGTGTGGGTGTGTATGTCGAAGACAAATTGTCATGCTGGCCCCATCTCCGAGTTAGCAACAAAGGCGAAGTTACCTCTCCCGAGCATTGTTGGCCTGTCTTCTTTCCTTCTCGCGCTGTGCTTTGAGTTCAGGATCGTCACCATCTTCGTCACAGCTCAACACAACAACACAACGTGAGGAGGACGACCGCTCTCTAAGGCTGACCGAGCCATAACCTAACCTATCCTAACCTGACTCTAACATTGGCCCCATGAATAAAATTAAGTTTATCAGCTACTATGTAAAATAAAAGAAATAGCGTTTACGAAAATATCATTGGAACAAATCTTTTTATTGAACACATGTTGAAAGTTATTACTTGAGGAACTGTTAGACATTCAAGGATGTTCTAAATATATGCACTGCTATTGCAGTAACCTAATTTTTACCAAGGATATTCTCTCATGTATGTTTACATATTCACTCCCTTTATGTAAAATGTAATTACAAAAACATTTTCAATTAAAAATTTGCCTACTATTCTGAGTTAGAAGTTATTAAGTATTCTTTAGGTTATGCCTAGTTCAGCCTCAGTAAGAGTTTAAACTATTTCAGTCTAAATATATTAACTATGTTTATAATAAATAAATTTAGATGAAATGTCTCGTATCTGCTTGCCAAGTTGGCCTTAACTCGTGATGAACAGCCAAAAATCTTTAAAAATGCAGTCAAGAAATAGTATGAAATACCTTCCTTTGACATAACGTATTGGTTTTGAGGTTTGAACTGTTTGTCAAAAAGAAGAGAAAAAAGGAACTGAAATTCATCCAGATTAGTCCTTGTTTGCCGTCCATGGGAAAGTGAACACACAGTGAGAAGCAGTATTGTATACAAAGCATGCGGTGTCAGGTCTTGAGGAAAAGAATATGAACAGGCAGTCAAATGCATTGAAAAACTATTGGATGATAACACCATTACCACTTGAAATTTGTAAGGTCTTGAAAAACATTTTTACATCATTAAAAACAAAAGTGATTACACAAATTACTCAAAGTTTTCAGCCACTCATCAGTCTAACTTAAAGTGGCTGTTACAGTTCTTAAAGAGTAGAGCAACATTTTTCCGTTTTATTTTGCTTAGGCCTATATAAAATAGTTTTTCACACAAAATTCACAACTCCTTGCTTTTGCTTTGATCAAATTGACTGCCTTGCAGTGCAATACAATTTGTGGTTATTGTGGTGAACTGTAAAAACATACAAAGGTGATTACAGGCAACACAGGTAAGCTAACTAAGTGCAGTGTGAGAGAGTCTAAGTGCAAGCGAGTGTAGGAGCTAGACAGAACACAACTTACCTCTCTCGCACGTTGTTGGCTTGTCGTCTCTCTTTCTCTCGGTGAGCTTTGGTAGACGGGTCTTCACCATCGTCATCCTCTGCACTTGAACAACTGTAATGAGAAAACATTGATTTATTGTCAAATCGATAGCCTGTTTTGATGGGTTTCATGTTTGCTGGTTCATCTAGTATTTTCAATAAGACAATTAGGTAATTTTACAGTGTGCACTCTAATATTTAGTACTAATATCAGAAAATAAGTGACATTGAACGAATTGCTTGAATGTACAAGGAAAAATAATTAAAACTCGACGGTTGGGTGTGGGTTTTTTATCACAATAACAGATTCATTCCAAACAAAGAGACAACACCTTAGATATTGCTAGACTATTGATCAGACGTAATGGTCTACCCTTTAACAGTTCTGGTAAACATAAAACCCAAGAGTAGTAGTTTTCAAACTTAATTCCCAGCTTGCAGCACATGTTGGGTATGTATTCCAACCACTTTACTGGATTTATGATGGCAGGTATAGTTGTTATAAGTGAAGGATTTTTATGTTACTATTGATAGCTGATATATTGGCAAATGGGGGCTGAGAGTTTTATAATTTTCCTGTCTGAAATACAAGTATTAAAGTGAGACTCACTAGCGACGTGATCGCTTGGCTCCTTTGATGCTTGATGGAGGGAGGCCAGGAGGCGACGTTGTGTTGATCGCCAAATCACTGCTGGAAGGCTTTGTGTCGCAACCGTCTGGCGGCTCCTTGCGTTTCTCTGTCAACAAAACAGATCCTGACATTCAGGATCCACCAGCCCAATCAACACAAGTTAGCAGAAACACTGGGAGTTCACAGTGAAAAATTGCGCTACCATTTAACAAATTGAGGTGAAAGCAGTTTTGGATATTACTAATGATTTTGTAAAATAATAACTGTTTTCATATGGTATGGGTCTTTTGTGTTCATTGGCTATAATGATATGACAGTACACAATTTGCCAAATCTAATTTAACATACTGTAACTTTTTGATAATTTTCGTCCAAAATTAGAAATATTTTTTACGGTTTGGACAAATATCTGTCAATCCTTAGAGAAATACAAGTAGTGTGTGTTTTGAAGTGGTACGCAGCAAGTTTTACTTGATGTTTTGCAAACAAAACACCTCGGTTTTTATAAACTGACAACCATTCAGTTCATTTTGACAAGGTCAACCAAAATTAAAGTAATAAATGATATCAAAACACTTGCATGAAGACCTTCCAATAGCAAAATTGCTGCATCCATACAGTGGTATAGTTGGTTGTTTATTACATTACGCAATGTCTACTAATGTAAAAAATCAAGATACCCAAATTATCTGTTAATTTGGGTCACTTATCCATGAGTACCATGATGTTTTGATTTATACTGAAACGGTTCAGAATAATCGGGGTATATTATCTCATACACACGTTTACATGTTTTGTAAATGTAGTATTTGCAACAAAATACTCACTTGAAGCAGCAGTCAGTCTCTCTAGCTTGATGTTATCATCGGGTGTGGCCGCCAGACTGGGATAAACCCCGTGGGGACTGGCCTGGAACACACAAGATAATATAATTACAACACCATGGAGCCATGGATACAATACACTCTTTGTATCCTGAGAGGGTATGTGTATACTTCAGTATTAGCTAGATAGAGATGTGGATGACTAGAGACTTTACACAGGCAACGCTGACTTGTCACTGTCATACCACAATATTAGGAATATGTCCAAAAAATCTTAGGTGGCTAACTGAAACACGTCTCCCCCGTTACTGTAAAATTTCACTACAATAGCTTCCCCTTGAATATTTGCGCACCACCTTTTGAAAGTACTCCAAGTTAACAATAACTAAAACAAATGTTCCAACAACTAATATAAGTATAGCTTGGCAGTGAGATATTAAGGTTAGCATTGTAAAATGTTTCAAAATAATATCTAGTAAAGCTCTTCCACGTATAATGTAATCATAAACAATCATAAATAAATCTAGACCAAACTTTCAATATCTGAGTGTCGAAAAAAAAAATGACAAAGTTTTTCTCCACCGACTAAATGATCCAACAGCACAGTGTTATGGCAGATATGCTAACCTGTTACACACTCGACTTTCTGTTACGTTAGATCACAAATGATGAATCTGAACCATCAATTCAGAGTTTGAAATAGAGATGAATTTAGAATCGCTATTATTCAACATAACATTGTATTTTTATTTTTTTTATTTACATTTTGAGCATACATAAACATAAGATAGTCCATCGACCAACTTAAAAATGGATAGAAGTTGACTTCAAACTGTTAATACAGTGTTGGTCAGGTTTATTACTTATTACTTTCTAGAGCTTATGGTTTTTGATTCTGTGCAATGGTTTTGCTCAGTTTTAGTTTACTCTACCAGAATTGTAGTTTCCTTTACATGCAGTTATTTACACTGTAATGATTATTCATGCGACGACACCATGTTAAGAGTCCTCGGAGGCTAGCAGCCATCTTGGATAATTTCAATCAGCTGTTGAAGAGTTATTTATTGTCCAAAAATATTTTTTTCAAACACCAAAGTGGTTATAATTTAAATATCTAGTAAACTGTGAGATTATAAATGGTCTTTGCAGTTTTGAATTGTTCTCCAAGGGAGTCCTAGAAGCTAACTGCCATCTTGGATTTGCCCGCCATACGAGCAAAGTTAATTTTGTTAATTTTAAACAGCCACTGAAGAGTTTTTTACTATCTCAAAATATTTTTACAAACACCAGAGCGATTGAAATTAAATGAAATTTACCTTGTAGTTTTTTAATTGTTTTACGAGTTAGAACGTCTAGGCTCCAAGAACTCTTAATGTAGAAGTTAATAATTTTAGAAAACATTTAAAAATTTGATGCCATGGCCACGGTATTCTTCTAATCCATGACAAACAAAATGAACAAACTATCGTCTTAGTAACATATCGATAGTTTCAGGTATTGTTATTTAGCTTCAATGCTAATGGTGAGTTACAATTATTACATTGGATTAAAAATATTACATGCAAGAAAATTTGACCAAAAGCACCAATTATGCACTGGCAAAACTCTAAAGTAAATAAGCAATCAAGCACACCCATTAGCATGAATTACAATTGAATATTGTTTAATATAGGAAAACATGACTAAGCAGTATTCCAGAAGATGAACAATATTGCATTTGTCCTTGCTTTATTTAGGTTTACTGTCATGTAATTAATTTACAATTATAGTTGTGGATTATTGTACATCAATGGCTAATGGGGATTATGAACAATATCTTGGATGATAGTTGTTGTTGTTGTAGCCATCACAGTCAGTATGTGCTATACAACACAATGTAGTTGTGCATCTGACAAGACCTACAATACTGTTTTTGTAGTCAAAGATACAAGTTAAATAACCTCTCAGTAAACCTGAATAAAGTAAACAATAATGCATCCATAGGTGGGTAATAGGAAAATGCTATGCCTTGTAATATAAAGGTAGCTGGATTATTTCCAAGAAAATATTTATTCTCTTTTTTGAAGGTTTGGACCCAGAAAGAGCTTTCCCCTTGGGTGTCTAATAAATGTTAGCTAAAGAGTCAGTTAGTTGGTCATAATGAGGAACATTTTATTTGATTAATTCAACACTCGATATTCATTCATTATCTTTTCCTTAAACCACATACTATATTAAATTGGCATCATAGTGAGAAAGTGGCTAGTAGGTAGTGAAAGAAATGGAAACAGGGATAACAATCTACATGCTTTTCTTTGACATTGAATAACCGTATTGCAAATGAGTTGTATAAACAGATTGAACTTACGAGATGTGCGTGGGCCGAGTCGATGGCGTGGGGGTACAGGGGTGTGGAATGTGTGACTGAGGCTAGTGCTGCGTGCAGACCCAGCTGACTTTCCGCGTGATTTCGCAGCACGTTTATGGCATCGTCAAGCCTCTCCTCCATACGAGTCCCCTGCAAGACACGTACTAGGTTATATCCTGATCTTATTCATAGGTTTTTCTACAGGATTAATTCAGGACACTTTCATTAGGCTATTATTTTATAAGTAAGCCACAAGAGTTTTTAGTTTCACAAAGGAAACAGCTGGCTTACCTTAAAGTATCATCCAAACCTTTATACAGACACAAAAATCTGATAATAATTAAGTCCAATATTTCAAATAAAAAATTACCTTATCAAAGAAGTAAAATTATTTTTTATCAGGACTTACATAATTTTCAATGCAAACTTACTATTTCCTACGAGAAATACTTGGTAACTAAAAATGATTGGATCTACATTAGATTATAAAAGGACTTATGTTTAGACCAATTAAACCACTAGGAAAACCCTGGAGGATACCAGAATTGTACCAACATTTATATAAAAAATAAAAATGTACAAAAAAACATAAAACATAAGAGTTGTAGCTATAACTGTACTCTGTAAAAAGACGGATGAAGAATGTTGGACAAAGTGGATTTTGAAAGTGCCATGAATAGTAAACATCTTTGTATTTATACCGATAATTTATTAGAGGAAAACTGTTTTATTCGCTGGAACATATTACCAATTACTAACAATATTTAGATTTCCTACAAATAGATTTTTTTGTCTTAATTAACATTTTAGAGATATTCACATCAAGGGGTTTTCAAGTTTATTTAGCTATACCCAACTGATTTAGCTATACCGCAACTATGAAGTATTGGACCTTTTTCGTTAATTCAATACCAATAGTGGAATGTGGTTACGTTAGATTAGGTTTTTCTAACTCTATACTAACCTAACCTAATAAAGCTTAATTCACTACCACTTCTATTGCTAATAGTCTATTTCCCTAAAGACTAGTGGCAGTGAATAAACGGAAAAGGTCCGAAGAACATTTGGATATAAATCAATTTTTATGTAGAGGTTTAAACATGTTAACATGTTTAACTAAAACTCAAAACTATACCAGTCATACCGTTTGAAACCTCTAATTTGTGAAACAGGCCTAGAATGTCCGATACCTCCGTGGTTTTATCTAAAAAAGACTAAGAGTAATAAAGTGACAGAGAGGAAGGGGTCAGAGGACACTATCAAAGGTTTACTGAGCAATTGAAGCATCCACTGATGTACACATCTACTAGGCTGCCAGGCACAACATTCTGTATTACCAAACAGGATAGACCACATAGTTTCTACCATGAAATCTAAGATAACACTATCAGTCTTGGACAGTCCAGTAATGCATGGAATAAACAACTCCTTTAAATATTTTATCATCTTTAAGGACCTGAAGACAATTGTAAGTTATGTCGTCTCTGTCCAAGTGTAAGCATCATAATTTGAATTTATTCCTTGTTATTTTACCAATTTTAAAAGAACGAAACCATCTATTTATAAACTTTAACTTGTCCTTAAATATTAAATCCAAAGAATAAACCGAACAATGTCAAGTGAAAACATTTAATAGTCACACCCAAACACGAAAAAAATATAAAAAAGCTTCAGATCTTACTATAGGATGATAAATCTACTAGAGATTTCCACAGAAAAATGATAAATTTATATAGAATTCAAGTATTACAAACAGCTGTTGGTATATCAGAGAATTAAGTTTTCTTTAGGGTGGCCACAAAGCTCCTGGAAAAAATGCACACATTTTTGCAGCAGCTAAACCTTGTTACCAAGTGTACCTAATTACTAGGGGTCTGCTGCGGGTCCCCAATATTTTTTGGTCAGGTCGGGCTGCTGAGTGCGTGTAGTTTGGAAGATGTGGGAATGGTAATTGAATTTTTTTCCCATGATCGGGGAGACAATGATGTGCCAAGACCAGAAGATGTTCACAATTTTGCATTGAATGCAAGAACTCATTCACGATTTCGCCATGACTGCCAAAATGTTCTTGATTATGCCGTGACAGTGGAAGATGTTAATGATTTTGCAGTGAACACGGAATATGTTCACGATTTTTCCGTGACTGCAGACTAAAACCGGGTTGTTCTAGTGAAATTTAAAATTCCCACATAATCCCCGTTTTTTAACAACAATTTCATGCATAATTCCCAGTTTTTGCACAATTCATGGTCTGTGGCCACCCTGTTTCTACTCTAGAGGAGTGAGTAAACCACGACAGTTGAATAATACACAGTTGAAAAATCCCAATGCAAAAGCGTCCTCTGATTCCTTCTTCTCTGACATGATCCGATCTGCAATGTGCAACAACATACCTCTCTAATATCTGTGTGGTCACGCAAGAAACCAATGGCAGCGTCCAATCTTTGAGTCTCAGGGGCGGCCGGCTGTGTTCCCAACATAAACAACAATCAACACAACGAACACAACAAACAATACAAACATGCACACAAACAGAGACTACGTAAGGCCTTGCCAAGCCATAGAAATCACATGTTGACTGGTTCTCAAACCTTACATGCTAAAAAAAAAATTATTTTAAATTGTTTGATTGGTAGATATTCGTCATTCAAAAAAGAATTTTGGGGTAATTGAAAGATTGAACACACATTGAACGTGCATAATTATGCAGAATTGATGAGTATGATGAAAAACATTTAATTACCCAGCATAACGGCTAGGTAGATAGATGTTTCAGTATAAATATTACCTTAAGTGTGGGCATTAGGCCAAAAGTCTTCTTAAAAATTTGATGACGGCAAAAAAGTCACTCTTATACAGATCATAATTTACAGTATGTTCTTGCTTTTCACTTCTTGCATAGGATGAATACTACGTACCACATAATTAAGAGACAAATTTAGTTTTTATTTCAAAACCAATGAGTGTGATATCTCACAAAAGTTAAAAACTAATTAATCTGACGTCATTCAAATAAGAAAATTCTTCAATGTAAAGAATGAGAACAGCCTCCAAAGAATAATACAAATAATAAAAATGTTGTGACCCAATAACAACTGCATGCATTAAAAATAGAAATCATGCATTAAAAATATATGTACAGAAATTATGATGCACATTACAAAAAGGCAACAGCTCATTCATACTAGGGAGACTTTAATCTCCCCTAACTAGACACCACTTAACAGGTCTTAGACTCCTATACCAGTAGCACAAAGCTTTACTGTAGTTGATAATTCAAACATTAAAAATGTTGAAAAACAAAATGTCGGGAAACAAAATGTCTACCCTATTTACATAGAAATTGATGAGTATTTCAAATAGCGCTGGTATTTCAACACACACAACTACATTAGATTTTCCTTATTTCAAACATAGCTCTAAAGGCATTTTTATTTTTATGTGAAATATTCATATTTAAAAAATCACTCTTTCCGAAATGTGCATCATCTTGAAAAATATTTCACAAACTGGTGTTTGCACTAAGATACAAATATTGTATACCCTTATCCAATATTCCTTTATGTATTCAGTAACATTTGCTATGAGCTAACCAGCCGCCCCTAGGAATTGTAATTAAAGAATAAGCAAATAATAAAAATAAAGGCATCAATAAAAATGTGACTTAAGCAAGCAATCAATATGGATAGCACAGCAGAACCTTGTTTAACTGGCCTCTGTTCAACCATAAGTGGCTTCTGTCAACTCAATTAAGTCTGTTGCGGTCACAATCTTCTTCAATGAATGTAATAGTTAGGCCTACTGTTTGCTTGGTGATACAACAAATACAATCACATCACATTCATTTGTTTTTCTTATTATTTATCACATTTAGACTCCAGTAGATATAGAATAGAGATGAATTACTTGAACGATTACGAGTTTTACAATAAGGGTTAATAACAAAAACACTTACCCGTCAGACTAACCCATGCATAATCATTTTACATGTTAGTGAGTCACATTCCATGTATATGTAGAAAATAAAGCCACAGCATTTTATAGTCTTTTACATAAATCTTAGTGAGGATTCAATGAAGTTACGTCACTTCAGGGTGTTGCACATGTAACCAATTTGAGTTTTTTTTTTTTTTTTTTTTTTTTAATTTGGAGCGCTGTAACTACCACAAATATATCCTAATCAACCCTTCATCGGGATGAACTGATTTTGAAGTGCCATCAAGAACATGCGAAGGTTAATTCTGCGTTTGGTAAAATTGAATAAAACTTTATTTAAGATATCAATCGTCTGGGGCTCATTGGTGAACGAACTAATAGATTCTTGGAAGTTAACTTAGTAATCAGATTCTAGTTATCGGGCGTACCCTGACAAAAATCAAGACCAGTTCGTTCCAATAACTAAAACCCCTTAAAATCGAATGCTTTGCAGTTCCTCAAAAGAAGTACAGAAGGTTAATTCAAGGCCAGGTTGCCTGAGAAACAGAGTTTATTTTTTCTTACTTAATCTTTGCAAGTATAAATTCAACTTTGTCTTTTCGCCTGATGGAAGGTTTACGATTCATACTCATCAGGTTATCCGACCGAGCATCCCATGAAGGCCAGATAATAGAAGATCTACTGTGTATTCTATCCAAACACCAACAAACCACTCCAACTGTTTTCTGATTTGAAAACGTAATTTATGAAATCTTAAAGTAGACATAAATACGCCAACTATAAATAATTCAACTAGTGTATAGTGCTGATATTTGTTTCTGAAAATCAGAATTATGTTGAGATTGATTTGTTGGAATTTACTGTAGCCTAAATAAAAACACTTACCTCGCAATCTACAGGCTTAGAGTTGAATAGATTTGAGTACTATTACCTTCAACGGTTGATTGTAAGCTTATTTTAAAATAATTTAACCTGTTGAAGTAAATGGATGCAGTCTTGTGTTCTGTGCAAGCTCTCATTTATAGTTGATTCTATTCACTTATTGTATTGAATGTTGTACAAAGAAAATATACAATTTTATGAATGGAATTTAGAATGAACTAAAAAGATAATCGCAAAATAGGACTTAATAGTGTTTATCTGATTATTTTAACTGCTCAAGACACAGAGAGCAGTTAATATAAGTGAGCTTGAAATTGAACAAAGATGTGGGAGAAACGGGTAACTCATTCCAGTCTTCAACAGGTTAAATAATTTGTTAAGTCAACGTCACAGGGTTAACATAGCACTTGTGGCAGTTCTTGTTTTAAATTTAATCCAAACGAAGATGTGACACATTATTTTGATTAGAAAATATTCAATAAAAGAATGATAATAAGAAAATAATTAATGTTGAATCAAGGAAACACATTAAAATTTCAACACAAGAGGAGTAAGTATAGAGTGAGCATAGACGGGTAGTATGGATAAACAAGTAAGTTGAAAAGGAATTTAGACTAAAATCCCTTCTAAGTTTGTTCCTGAAACGGATTCTAGGAAAAAAAATAAACAGGGTCTTCTGTGTTTAATCGGCATAATATGTTCCAACCAAGAACATCTTTAGGCAACTAAAATGTTGAAATGAAGGTGTAGCTCACCATATGTAATGTCCGATGGTCAGGTGGGAAGTGGGGGGAGGCGGGGTGTGAGTGTGGGGGCCAGTTTTGACCCCCGGGACCGCTGGGAGCCCCGCCAGTCAGAGGTGGAGGGGAACTCACCGGAGTTGACGGGTTTGAACTATAACTGCTGACACTTTGGTCTGTGGGATATATCTGCAACAGGTAATAAACGAATATGAGTTTAATTGTATTAAGTGTTATATTGTTTAACGTACGTTTCTATCCAAAGCCAATCATTCCAGGTCTTGGTACCTTGAGTTTTGTTTGGATGTAAATAGTCTGCTACATGTTCTCTGTGTAAAACCAGGACACATCCCGCAACTGGTACCAGGGACTTATTACTGTTGTTACCATGTTCTCATGGTTGATAAAGAGTTACAAAGCTGCATTTTCTTCTACTCTTTTGTTATTGTATTAGTAATATTACTGATCATGATTATAGGATATTTTGAAAGGGGGACAGAGTTCAGCTAGCTTATCTGAGAAAGTAAAAGTTCAGTGGCTAATAGACAAAATAAAAAGTCACAAAACATAACACTGATATTTTGTCGTAATATAGAACTTCTTTAAAAGAGTCGGTTGAAGCATAGACTAAGCAACACAAGTAGACTCCTCATCCCATTGTAAATTTTGAAGCTTGTTTTTCATGTCTAGTTCATGTACGTCCACACTGATCGCTGGGGTAGACCACATTTTGTTTCTATTATTTTAGGGTTATTTTCATGATTTGTGCTTTACTATTTGGTTATATAACAAGGGGACCAGTTATTCTTTATGATTAAATCGTTTTATATGATTAAATGAGGTTTTAAATGACTGAAATAACAAGAAACAAATTATAAACAAAACATAACCTCTACAGTTGGACGTACAGAACAAACAATAAAATTGGCTTCAGCTGTTCCATAAGGATGACAAATCTACTAAGGGAGTATGATTTATCTATGGTTGAAGCGATAAAGATTGCGGTATACTTGGTTTCATTCAGAGTTAAAATATTATGTGTAAGCCAATTATAACAACTACAATAATAAAAACATAAATATTACTGCCCCCAAGACAAATTGGAATGTATAAAGGATAACGTCTTCAGACATTTAATTATTCAGTGGATTACTAGTTTGGGGTTGAATGATCCAGTGTCAAATTCTACATCAAATTGAAGATAGTTTCATCTTACTTGTATCATAATATTCCTAACTTCCAGCAAACTCAAACAGAGACATCTTACCATCCTGAGCTATAATTATTGCAAAAGGCAAGTGATAAAAAAATTCAAGGCGATTTGAAAATACTAGGGCTCGGCGAAAAGTGGATCTTTCAGTCATGGATAATTTTCATGGAAAAGGAACGAAAGACAAGATAAAAATAATGGTAATATACAGTTGGAACATACAGGTGGTGGAAAGTACACTTACGGAGGCCAAAGCTTTCCCCAGTGTGTCACCGGGTGTTTGTACGACAGGACTGTGCGAGGGGTTGTAGAGGATGCCAGCCGGCGACTGACCTCCACTAGGCCCACGGAAGCTGGACATGGGTGGAAGTGAGTGGGGCCCGGAGGTAAGTGGAGGGCCCCCGAGCCCCAGGGAGGTGACGGGGTCGGCACTTGGTGCCGCAGGGACTGAGGGAGCTGAACCACCGGCACCGTTGGGTGACATGGCTCCGTAGCCCTGCAACAATCATTAAGACAGTTACAAACAAGTACAGAAGTAGGCCTAGCTATTATCAAGTTCAGGACAACTTTTTATGGTTTATGCTCTAAACATCAAAAACCTAATCTTTTGCATTGTTTAAAAAAAATAATTTTTTACAAATTCTCCAATGTTTTAGATGGTTTGAAAAGGACTATACAACATTTAATTGATACCAATGTTTTTAACAGTAATTGTAATGGATATGACAAACAAAGGTACAAAGAGAATTATAAAATATAAAATAGCTACTACCCTATTAGGAAATTTAATAATTTATTACAGAAACTTTTTGTTTTATTTTGACTTTTTAGTATATTATTGATGTAAAAATTGAAATACTGTACATTGTTTGGTGCAGAAATCACACAACTGCGAAAACAAGTTGGTTATGTTATGGGTTTTCTCCAATAAACGATCCAATTTAAAACACATGTAAATAGCCAACAATTAAACATTTTGATGCAGGTTTACAATCTCTTATTCCTAATTAAATCACTAACTTAATGGTCGATATGCATACAGCATGCGATCGAGCACAGCATGCTCGATGTGCTGTGTGCTCGATAACTTGTATAGAAAGCTGCAGAATTAAAAACAAATATCTAACTACATACACAGCTTTACATTGTTTATAAATGTTGTGAGCGAGGGCAGATCAATCGTTACTAGATTGTTAAATAAATTGTAGTGGAATAAATTGTTGTACTTAGAGTATGCTATTTACATAAACAAAAATAATAAATAAACAGAAAAGTTGTCTAAACTAACTATATACTGATTCATTCATTAATGTAACGTACAATCAATACCAATTGCATAAGGTATGACTTAATTTACAGATAGGGTTAATTTTCACAACAATATCTGTTGGACCATTATGATGATTAAGCAAGACCATTACTCTAGCAATGCTGACCTATTGATTCACAACACAATTTAACGGTTTATTAACTAATTGTTACACAGAATTCACCGTTACACAATAATTTCAAACATCACAACAAAAATAAATCTACACTAACAACAAATTTCACAATTGAGATTCGTCACTAGACATTGCTTAGCACAAGATCAAACTCACAATGTGAATCTTGCCTCCACGGACAAAGACACAATAAGAATCTGCTAAGAGTTGATGTAACTAAAGGTATCTAGAGCGGCAACGGCAGATGAACAGAATGTAAAGGTACCAAACACATGACAACTCATTTGTCTCAAGTTCCACCTGAGTACACAAAGACGTAGAAACACAAAGAGCAACACCTCCCACTTTACACTGGACTCTCACGAGAAACAAACTAACTACGGTTTAATTTTGATCTGATCTTATCGGGCTTAATCTGCAAACTCCTAGAGTTGGGTGTTAATAAACAATCTAGGATAGATAATATTACTGAAGTGACACCTATTACCCTGTTAATAAATGACCAAGAATACCCCATTATTTTAGTAACGTCATATGAACTGTTTAAACAAATGAATGAAATAACTATCGCTGATCGCGTTTTCCTATTAACAGTGCGCATCACGAAATATTATAGTACCTTGATAATACGATTATCTTTTTAACATCGTCTGGACTGTTACAACGAGCGAGTGAAATAGCCTGATCCTGTCTTTCTACTAACAGCGCCTGGCTGGAACAACCATGAGGAAGAAGTGATAGGTGACAAATATTAGTACTATTTAATCTATTACCAAAACGCTAAGGAACTTTCCTGACTATTATTGCAAAGTAGCAGTATTTCCCATCTTTACTAAACTCCTGTACCAATTTGAACCTATACCACCCTTATGGGTTAGAAAACTCCTGTACCTATTAAAACCCATACAATGTTTACTACCCTTCACCCTGCGCAAAATTGGGGACACATCTGACTTTCTAATGGAAGACATGCAGAAAGAATGTATAATTCTCAGAAGCTATAACCAACCCCTAAAGAACCTTCAAGCCAGGGTACGTATAATTAGACTGGGATGGTAGCGTCGTCCTGTAATCCAGCTACTAGGAGGTCACCGGATATTATTGTGGACTACGATTATCCGCAGTAATATCCTGATAATTAGACCAATTCGTTAATTACAAGGCAAAAATGTGGTTTGGATTCCCCTATGAACTGCAGGTCTCTTAGTTGCCATTGGCTGTAACCTATGGGATTTTAATTAACAGCTGTGTCCAAGGAATATGTCGGCCTTAGTCATTAACAAGACTACAAGATCGCGCCACTCATCCTACGCTCATCTCCATTCATACTTGGCTTAAATACCTACATTCACATGGCATGATCACCATTTCAAAGTAAAGTATTAAAGTAAATGAACTCTTTCAATGATAGAGTAAATTACAACAATGTGAAATTGAGTAATGAAGAAAATTCTTCGATGTTTTGGGTAATTGTCTCTACCACAATATTGCTACCGTGACTTAATATTTTAGCTCAAGTTTGTTAATGGTATTTGATCAAACAAGCCTAATAGCAGTCTGTAACAAAGCAATAAGGCTAACAATATAGTATCCTTTTAAGTAAAATTGTCTAATAATCAAGACTGTAGACAGATAAATATCACCAAACATGTGTTGTATTTGCATTGAAAGCAAGAAAACTTTTATGAGCTCACGTAAGCTTTAAGGAATTGAATATAAGTCCTTTTAAGACTCAGGCGGTCCGGATAATCAAAACTACCCCTAACTCCAAGGCACACTAGGCTGGCTAGCAAGGTGGATGTACTCACCATGTTGTCATGAGGCAGATGAATGTTGTTAGATGCGTATGCGGCCTGCGCAGTAGGTGGCGGGGCCGTGTAACCCCCGGGATAAGGGCCTCCGCCAGCACCACCTCCACCCGTCCACGGGTCTCCGGGGCCTGCCCCTCCATCTGTAAACATCAGTAGATACATTGAATACAAATTTATAAAAAACAGCTTGTTATTTTAACCTACATATTTGTCCTAAAGTAATCTTCAGTTAATTTGTAGATTCAGACTTTCAACGTACAGCATAACAATGTTGCTAATTTAGAGTGGTTTTCAAAGTTGAGAAAAATATTGACAGTATACAATAAACAAAAATATTGCAGGCAGAAATTGCAACATACTATTGATACAGGAAAATATGAAACTGCACGTTTTTTTAGCGAATTTCCCTATAGGGAAGTAGCTATTACCGTAGGTGGCACGGTAAAACCTAGACCCGGGACCGATTTACTTTTTCATTTTGATGTCCCCAGAGGCCAAAAACACTATTCGTTCAAATTTTTATATATGTATATATATATATATATATAGACTTATATATATATATATATATATATATATATATATACGTCCGTGAACGCGATAACTTGAGTAATTTTTGTCCGATTTTGATGAAATTTGGTTTAAAGGTGTAAAGTGGGATAAACTTGAATGAGTTCGCGAACCAGCACGATCGGACCATGGGAACGGGGCTTTACGGGGGGTTTTATGGGGTAAAAATTGGGTTTTCTCACTTTTGACCCTCAAAACACAAAATTTCCCAATTTCTCTTTAGACCTTTTTAAAGAGCTTAAAAAAACAAATAATTTAGTATATAAAAGTATTTTTGTTCGATTATTAGTAACGGAGAAAATTAAAAAAATTGTAAATTTAAAATTCCCATGTTATTCTTATGGAGAATATTGTCAAATGTTGTAGTTTGCTTGTTTATGAATATATTTTGATCAAACTTGGCAAATTTATTTATTTTGTACTAAGCTATCAATATTTTACTCAAAAACACACTTTATTAGTTTCCTTGTAGCAGCAAACCTAGGTACTCGTTAAACCTTATGTTATTAAAATATATTTAACTGAAAATCAATTCAGACAAATGGAAATTCGCTTAGTCGGCAGGTTTTGCTGCGGCGGGGGTATTTAAATACAACAATTATATGTTACTGTTAAAATCGTGAAATATTCCTTTTGTTTAAAAAACCTTTTGTCCAAGCCAACCTTAATGTAAAGTAAAAGGACAATAAGGTTTAAATACCAAGCTTTTATTTACTTAAATTGACAGTTGGCTATCAACATAAAATTGTAAAGCTGTCTCTTGGAAGGCTGAAGATGCAAGAATTTAGTGAATACTTTTGGGATTAGGTTTAGAATTTAAGGTAATTTTTCTGAATCCTACAAGATTTGTGCTACTAATTGTGCCAAATTTCACTTACAGTACCCAAATCAGTGTAAAAAATAAAGAATATTTTTATGTAGAAGCATGTCTTTTTCTAGCCAGGGAATGGTCAAAATCCTGGTCTTATTACTATAATGTTGACCTTTTGTAGGAATGCATATGTAAAAGCTCGACTACCTATTCAGTGAGGTACTCACCTAGGTAATAAGGATCCGAGGTATATAGACCAGCAGATGCCTTGGGTGAGGTGTAACGTGGTGAAGCCTCTCCAAACTCGTCTGACCCATACTGTAAAAAAAACAAACCGTTATAAACAAATACAAAACTTTGTCAAAAGTTACAAACACTTCTGAATCTGCCTACTACACATCAGCTGTCCATCAAAGGAGTTTCCTTTAAACGTAGCCTCGGGCGATGACAAACCCTCATTACAGCCTCATAATCACAAAAAACTGCAGTAGCAAACGTAATTTGGATCCAATAATTAATGATACCAAATCTTAAATTAAGAGCTTTCAAAATTTACAAATACTAGAATGATAGCTACCAAGCTTTATGTAGATGTTGTCGAGACCCAACTTCTTAACTGAAGAGCAAAACTGGTAGTTTGTAGTTTACCAGGAAAGGTCATTGCTCTATCATTGTCTATACCCAGTAGGTAGTATTATAGTTCAGAATCAGAATAAGAATCTCATAATTGTCCTTTGTCAACATGACATTGCTAGAGAATGTCAAAAAGCACAAGAAAATCATTATTTAGAAAGGATTTTTAATTTAACAGTTTGAGATCCATCAACCTACTTCTTTTTTATGAACAGAAATAATTGTTTGTTAACTCTTTTTACTGTTGTACAGTACTGCTTCTAAAAATGGTTTAGTTTTTAATTACTTTATCCAAGGAAGGTACAGGTACATTAAAACACAACACAAAATTAAAAACACTAATTTTATGGCAAATATTACAGATCATATTAACATATAGAAAGATAATTTTAATATAATTTTTAAATTTAATATGTAAACCTAGATGACATTCCAAATTACCTATTATAACCTACTAAGAAAAACATTGGAAACCCTCGGGCGCCTTCAAACAACACAACGCATCCCTCACTGCAGCGGGCTGCGTGACCAGACATCTTCACATCAAACGAGGTCGTATTCAAAACAATAATGAAAAACGGGTTTAAATTTTAACATTATATTTTTATATGAAGTTAACAGTTCGTAAAATTTTATTGAGCAGGCATACTACGACATATAACTCTTCCCCAAATCAGAATGTACTCGAAAGTACAAAAATTAAAGGCTAACTATTCGTAAACTTTCTCCATTTTCGTGTATTTTCTATTAAAGTAGTATAAACACTTTAATCCAGAGCAGTTTGGTAGTGAGCATTAGATGTTTAACTAAACCTATCCCATGACACAACAGTAATTTCAAACGATTTCACTAATCATACAAAATTATAGGAATAATTGAGCAGAAATTAGTCAGGTTTCCACGAAGAGGCAAACATTATGTAGCTATGCAACTTTATAAGCTTACCCTAAGATGTTTATAAGGTCATAGAAAAAAACTTTTGCAATGAGTATTACCGTACGTGCAAATGGTTTCAAGGTTATTTAGAGAAGGGACAATTCGTATTAATGAATTCTTGGAACGTGGAAACTTTAAAATTAAACTCTAAAGCATAATAATTTTAAAATTAATTGTAACCAGTAAACAGCATATATTAAAAATTGTGTTTCAGTTATAAATGCTAGTGATAAGCCTAAGAGGACATTATTCTCCTACTAAAAGGAAAGAGAGGACAGTAAGTAGCGTTTAAACATGGAGGGGGGGGGGAAGAGAATTTTGCAAAAAGCTAATACATCAACAGTAATGAGAGGGGCCGGTTGTAGCAAGGGTGTTACCAGCTGCAACAAAACAGTACCTGATACGGTTTATGAGTGAAAGATATTACCAACCCAACGACAACCGAATGATGAAAGAAAGAAATGTGGATAAATGGTCTCATCACACCAACCACTACACAGCAGTACCTTTGAGCGAAATAAATCGAAGTCAAATCAGAACGTGACACCGTCACTGAATTTACAGCGGAGGAAAAAAAACATCTTGACTAATAGCAACATAATAAACTATTAGGCTGAGTGGAATAAGTTACCTATAAGACTCCTAAAGATACCTATTGGTATGTCATAACACATACAAACTGGAATAAAACCTTATTCCCGTCGTAAATTCTTCTTCTTCTTCTCGTAAATTGGCCGATTAAAATTTAGCAAAACGTGATTATCAAAGTTATCTGGTGGGAGAGAGGGGGTGAATAGAGGATAAGGGGGAGGGTGGCAAATCCAAAGTACAGGTAAATAGGCACGACCGTGACATCCTCGACATCAGTAGAAACTAGAGGTCGTTCACATGAGCACAGACTACGGCAGTGCCTCTGTTGCTGCCACTACAGTCAGTGTAATGTTTAGTTGGTTTGGTGTACCCTAGGGGTAGGTAGGCACGGCCGTGACAAAAGTATAAACTAGAGGTCGTTCACATGAGCACAGACTACGACAGTGCCTCTGATACTGCCACTACAGTCAGTGTAATGTTTAGTTGGTTTGGTGTACACTAGGGGTAGGTAGGCACGACCGTGACATCAGTAGAAACTAGAGGTCGTTCACATGAGCACAGACTACGACAGTGCCTCTGTTGCTGCCACTACAGTCAGTGTAATGTTTAGTTGGTTTGGTTTGGTGTACCCAAGTGTAGGTAGGCACGGCCGTGACATAAGTATAAACTAGAAGTCGTTCACATGAGCACAGACTACGACAGTGCCTCTGATGCTGCCACTACAGTCACTGTAATGTTTAGTTGGTTTGGTTTGGTGTACCCTAGGGGTAGGTAGGCACGGCCGTGGCATAAGTATAGACTATAGAGGTCGTTCACATGAGCACAGACTACGACAGTGCCTCTGATGCTGCCACTACAGTCACTGTAATGTTTAGTTGGTTTGGTTTGGTGTACCCTAGGGGTAGGTAGGCACGGCCGTGACATAAGTATAAACTAGAGGTCGTTCACATGAGCACAGACTATTTATTATTATTATTATTATTATTTGTTGTCATGAGAGCCGAAGCCCCCTGACTGCTTACCCGGTACCTATCCTTCAGGACATACCCGGGCCCCATGATGTAGGCCGAAGCTTACGCATCAACCTTTAGCACATCATGGGCGGATGACTTAAGGTCATCAGGCTCGCCGGCTGCCGAAGCAGACCCTTCGGAAAGAGGGTTGCCCCTCAATCCTAACCAGGGATTCCGGCTGCTTGTTTAAGCGTCACTCCACCTGGGTTCCACTAGGTCGGAACCTAGAGGTCCATAGTAGAGCGCCCCGACGCATTTAGTGCAAGCAACACTCGGGACCTATCTCATCCCTGACAGGCAGAACCCGCCATCAATAGCCAGGAGGAAGGGGACCATCAGCACGCTGACGGGGGGAACCCCAACCTCCCATTTACACCGCTGCCCGATCGAGGCCTTACCCATTGCTGGGAAACCAGAGATAACCAGAGCGATAGATCCCCAGATACCCCTGGCGGGCTCGGACCCAGCACCCGATCTACTTCGTTTGCCCGTCAGACCCAACATCACTGCCAGGCCATCAGGGTTTCCCAAAAGGAGGCAGGTATAGAAGTGGGACCCACCCTGATGAACCTATCCACCAGAGGTGGCGACACCCTTGACTCAATTGAGGTTCCGGGAAGAACCCCCCACACTCAAGATAACCATACCGTCCGTGCTCAGAGACAGGGATAGGTTTGCATAAGTACCTACAAACCGTTGCCCTCACACTGCGGAAAGTTACGTTGCCCTTGAGTGTCCCCGTGAGCTGCGGGTACTTGCCCGTTTTCACCTCCAGGAAAGGTTACTTCCAAAGTCGAGGATTTGCCCACTGAATGCTGGTCGCACACAACAGTGCAGTGGACTACGACAGTGCCTCTGATGCTGCCACTACAGTCACTGTAATGTTTAGTTGGTTTGGTTTGGTGTACCCTAGGGGTTGGTAGGCACGGCCGTGACATAAGTATAAACTAGAGGTCGTTCACATGAGCACAGACTACGACAGTGCCTCTGATGCTGCCACTACAGTCACTGTAATGTTTAGTTGGTTTGGTTTGGTGTACCCTAGGGGTTGGTAGGCACGGCCGTGGCATAAGTAGAAACTAGAGGTCGTTCACATGAGCAAAGACTACGACAGTGCCTCTGTTGCTGCCACTACAGTCAGTGTAATGTTTAGTTGGTTTGGTGTACCCTAGGGGTTGGTAGGCACGGCCGTGACATAAGTATAAACTAGAGGTCGTTCACATGAGCACAGACTACGACAGTGCCTCTGTTGCTGCCACTACAGTCAGTGTAATGTTTAGTTGTCGTGGTGCACCCCAGTTTTTGGGGTAGGTGCGGCAAATATTTTAGACCCTATAAAATTATTACTTTCAAGTAAAATATAAGTTATCGAAAACAGAAAATATATTTGTTATCTATTAAAAAACATGTTTTTCACGAAACACAAACAACATGCCAACTATGACAACTGGCTGAGAAAAGACCTAAACAAGAATTTGCAGTTTCAAAACAAACTAGTGAAATGCAACAAACGTAGAGTGAACAAAGTGATTAAAGAGAAACAAAGTTGGACCAGGTTCAAAGAGAGGCCTCTTTGTCTGGCGTCCAGCGGGAGATATTTTGGTACCCACAGTACGAGTACGTACCCCGTGAACGTGAATACAACATACCGTGCCTCCCACCTCGGGGTCATATCAAGGTTTTTTAGTTCTGTCGAAAAATAAAATAAAAAATACGCTTTTACTCAACAATCTCAAGTCTTCAATCTTCAAGTTCTCAGCATCTTTCAAAATGAAGTAACAACGAGATTACTTCAAAAGCCTCGGAAAATTATCAATTATCTTTAATAGCGAACGAATTAACAGAGCGCAGCACATTTTTTATCATACTGTTAGAATGCACAATAGACTTCGGTTGACATGCCAGTACCCTGAGTCCGCCCATCTCATACAATACATTACCAACTTAAAAATATTTTAAACATGAAGCTATGTTTGGATTGTAACGGAATACCTTGTTAAATCACGAGGATTTACTATGAATCAGACGACGCTAACATTCTAGATTTTCTTTTTCCTTATTGCGGAAGGTTTTAACATACTAGATTTACCAAACCAAGCAGGACCATTTTTGATACTAAATAGGTATCTGAAACAGTAAGAAGTT